ACTGGAACCGTAACGAGGTAGCATTTCGTGCCTACTACAATACCAAATGTGACAAAAATTGTGACAACGTAACAAAATGTTTTGTGAAAAAGTGCATAGTCTATAGATTCCCTTTATGTTAGATTCTTTAAAATGTAAAAATAAACAAACTATTACTTAGTATAAACTTATTTATATTAAAACTATAAAAAGAAGAGAATGAGAGACACCGAATTTATAAAAGTGTTTACCTCTGGAGGTAGCCATTTAGGAGGGGCACACAAGGACTGGCAAAATATTGACAAGGTTGTATTTCTTCAGCTGCAGAAAGGGGGACAGAGGTGCTCATTATTATTCTTTTTTAAATTGAACATGTGTTTCATTTTTTAAACACGTCTGTTTTAAATGTTCTTTTGCACATAGATACGTTTCATAAGAACGTTTTATGTCATAGAGGAAGAGGCTCCAAATCTAAACTTTCTTCTGACTGGAAGTAGCTCACAGTGGATCATTTCCCTGATGATCACAGGTTCTGCTCCAGTCTAGCCAGGAGTTTGAAAGATCATAAAGGCTACAGAGTCTGAAATGGGGCAAAGGTGTAACTCAGGAGTCATCAAGATAAGGTATAAGCAGATGCCAAGTATAGAAGACACATATCCATAAGAAGAATGTATTTGACAAAGGATGAAGAGAAGGAGAATTGAGTTTGGAAAACATGGGGAAGAAAGCCTATATAGTGCATGTCATGTACACAGCACATGTATGACCCAGCAGAATTCAGTACATGTATGACCCAGCAGAATTTTTGTTTGTTTTAGGAGGAAGTAGTGTTTAGAAAATGATGTAGGTCAAAAGAAGACAAATAGTCTCATTTCAAGAAAAAAAGAATATAGTGCCAATTGGAAAAGAAGATTGAGAGGTATCTCTACTGAAGATTATTTTTAAGCTTTCCTCAAAAACAAAACCAGAATGCTAAAAACAAATGTTCTACATTGCCTTTTCAACAAATGGACATATCCTATCCTTACTGTGCAGCTAAGTTAGTTTTTTGTTTTAAAGGCAGGCCAAACTGACACTTTAGGGCAAATGTTATTTTTCTAAAGCAATATCACATTGTCAGTTTTTGTTATATGGTATCTAATCCCTATGGTATGCCAAGTTCTTAAGCAATTTAATTAACAAAAACAAACAAATAAAACGTGTACTTCCATTTAGCTCTGGCCCAGCACTGAGAAGCTGCTTTCTGGGCTACGGTTTCTGATACTCATCTGTCCCCTTTATTTTCCACACTGGCACATTCTTCACCTACATTTCTAGTCCAAGGTGATCAAGTTTACAGAGCACTGATTTCTGATACCAGCTCAATCCTAGATTGGCTTGTGGTGTCACTTTTTGGCATACTATCCAGTTCTCTGTCTTCATCGAATGGACTGTAGGAACAAACAACTCTGAATTTAAATACTAGAGCTATGATTTACACATTATGCTACCTCTGGCAATTTACTTATGCTCTCTGAAGCTCAGGTTCCTTAAATGTTAAAATAAGAATAATGATGTCAACCTATGACCTAGTCAACCTATGTTGACTATTAAATGCTTAAATGTATTTAGACATCTTAAGTGAAGATTTAGCAACAGCTAGTGGGATTCTCAGTTCTATCCACAGACCAGCTTCCTAGTTGTGTCTCTGGGTATGAGCCCCAAACACCTCCCTCAACTCTGGTGCAGCTTTGTGTTCTAGCTTCCATGTTCCCTGCAAAACTTAACAGGTGTCTGACTTCTAAATAAAAAATATCTGTTATGCTCCTACAGAGTTCTGATCTGAATTTTAGCTCTCAGCTAACATATTTTTCTTAAGAACCACTTCTGATTTTCCAATTCTAGATTGTCTATTTTGATCTCCTGCCATGTTCTTTCTAACATGTCTGAAAAATATTTATTCAGCTAGATGATAAGATCAGTTCACCATCTTCTTTTTTAAGTATCACTTAAAGAGGTTTTTGTTTTTGTTTTTCATCAGAGACCTCTGGTTTCTACAAGGGCCTCTCTTCTCAATTACCCTTACTCTCCACCCATTGTCTTATAAAAACCTCCCTCAATGTCATGTTATAGAAAATAAATAGGAAAAACCCTAAGTTCTAAGCTCAATCCTCTAACTTACCAAATACGGAACTTTCACTAAGTCATTCAACTTTTACCGGAGACTTAGTTTTTGCATCTACAAAATAAGGAAGAATATGCCCTAAGACATATAATTAGTTAAGAGGCTTAACGCCAAATGTAGTGATGCAGATGAATGTGTTTTGAAAAGTGTACTTCTATACAACTTAGAGGGTATTATCCATTTAATAAAGAGGCCGTATGGAACAGTGGTAAAGATAAAAGAATCTGAATTCTGGCTCTATCACTTATCAGCTCTGCCTTTCTACGTTTTCATATGTAAAATGAAGATTATGGTACCACCTTGTATGACATTAGCTCAATGATGTTAGCTACTATTGCTATGGTTAAACCCCTGTGTGCCAGGCATTCTACTAGGTGCTGGTCATCAAATGAAATCAAGGCTAGCATCTTTGCCCTAACCTCTGTCTCTCACTACAAATGCTATATTTTCTGTCACTTATGTCTTACATACCTTACAGCAAAGAAAACTCTAAGTAGCACATCATTCCCACAGAACATCATGGTAAGATTCCCCAAATCCACTATTTCTTTTCTTTCCTGTAAAAATTTCCAGTGAACACTGTGGTGACTCTAGTATTTTCTTTTCTAATCCATCACTTGAGTTGAAACTTTCCTGATAACTTCTGGGTAAACTATCTGGGATATCTTTCTATGAAACAGAAATAATTTACGGGAGTACTTCTCAAAGTAACTAACCAAAAACCAAACCCAAACACCATCTGCTTCTCAATCACCTACAATGCTAATTAAAAGGCAGACTCCTAGACCCTATGTCCAATCTATTGTGATTCCAAAGCTCTGGTTGGAGGATGTGTGTGAGTCTGCATCCTAGTAAGGCCAAGGTAATTTTTATGCAAATCCCCCGTGAGGACCACATTCTCAAGAGGAAATACTTCTACCTCACAAGACCTCTGTAAGGAAAGGCAATGCTGTGTGGCAGGCGGGTGCCTATAGTCCCAGCTACTCCAGAGGTGAGGCAAGAGAATTGCTTAAGCCCAAGATTTGGAGGTTGCTGTGAGCTGTGACGCCAAGCACTCTACTGAGGGTGATATAGTGAGACTCTGTCTCAAAAAAAAAAAAAAAA